TGCAGAACTTGTAATGTCCAGTAAAAAAACAACAACACAACAACAACAAAAACACCCCTCGGTTCCCCTTCCCTTCCCACACTGGGACAGGAGAGAGGGAGTGGGGGGGGAGGGGCGAGGGGGGGAAAGGAAAAATCCAGCAATCAAACAGAAAGGTCTCCCAATGGAGGAAAACTCACGATCTTCAGCTGATTAGAGTTTGCTTTAAGCAGGGCCTGCAGCCAGCAACAACTGAGCAGAGAGCAGCAGCAAACTCCCCTCCGACAGGAAAAAAAAAAACAAACAGGCAGATTCTGCAGCTCGCAGCAAGTCCCAAGCCTACCAGCACACCCGCCTCTCCTCCCCACCTGCATGCCAGCCACACCCTCAGCCCACCAAAATTCCTCCTCCCCCGTTGCCCCGGAGATGAGAGAAAAAGGTAGACTTTAGATCCTTCATCTACCTGTTTCCTAGGAGATTGATCTCTCGGTCATTAGTGAACGGACCGATTCTTTTGTTCACCTGATAGCTACCTCATGACCTATACACAGGGCACACATGGCAGGGGGAAGGGAAAGAAAAATTCCTTGCTAAAATCGGAACTATGACACTGCCTTAGACTGTGTACATTGGAGATATTCTTTCTGATGGAGATGTTAAAGAGAAGCATTTAGGTAGGTCTTCAACGTGGAGCTGTTGACCTCCATTATTTACAATGTGCAAGACCCTCTGTTACTTATGAGAGTGCAGACTGCCTAAAGCTTTTGGATCTGTACAAAGCGCTTGATGTGTACTTCCAAAAATGTTGCTGCAGTATGGAAGAGACAGGACCCCTTAACCTCTGCACTTTCTTCACTGAGGTCATTATATTAGGCTCATGCAGCATTTGACTAGCCCGCCTTTCAGCTTTCATAAGAGCTTTACAGAGTTCTAGTTTTATTTTTTAATTTTCTCTAATGTGTAAAACTACCCAAATATATCAGTTATCATCAAGAACTTAAGAGTTTGAGGATTTTATGCAGTTGTGGTGTGGGGGTTTTTTTGAGTCAAGTGACAAGACAAATGTGGGGGATACTGTTCAAAAGGCAAGATCAAGATCACTTCAATTTTTAACTTTCCTGTCTTTCAAATGCCATGTTCAGTTTGCTTCAAGCAAAAGTGAAAACCAACCTTCAGTCCTGCAACATCAACCACATACTCAGCTTTCATGCTGATTTATAAGTTGGTGTAGTGGGTTTCTGTGGCTGGGTTTTGGTAGCGGGGGGGCTACAGGTGTGGTTTCTCTTAGAAGCTGCCAGAAACTTCCCCTATCCCATGGAGCCAATGCCAACTGGTTCCAGGACGGACTTCCTGCTACTGGCCAAGGCCAAGCCAATCAGGAGCAATAGTAACGCCTCTGACATAACATATTTAAGAACATAAGGTTGTGGTGCAGAAAGAATTCCAGCCAGGGAAGAACAGAGTGAGAACATGGGAACAACAAAGTAGACACCAAGGTCAATGCAGAAGGAGGGGGAGGAGGTGCTCCAGGCGCCGGAGCTGAGGCCCCTGCAGACCATGGTGAAGACCATGGTGAAGCAGCTGTCCCCCTACAGCCCGTGGAGAACCATTGGGGTGCAGAGATCCACCTGCAGCCCATGGAGGCTCCCATGCTGGAGCAGGTGGATGCAGGAAGGAGGCTGTGACCCTGTGGGAGGCCCAAGATGGAGCAGGGTCCTGCTGGAGACCTGCAGCCCATGGAGAGGCAAGCCCACACTGGGTAGTGGTAGGACTCGTGGCCCCTGTGGGGACCCACACCAGTACAGCTCATCTGTGAAGGACTGCACCCCATGGAGGAGTGACCCATGGGACAGCAGTTTGGGAAGAACTGCTGCCCGAGGGATGGACTCACACTGGAGAGGTCCATCAAGGACTGTCTCCTGTGGGAGGGACCCCATGGGAGCAGGTGAAGGACTCCTCTCCCTGAGCAGCAGCAGAAATAACAACTGACTGTAACCCCCCTTCCCTGTCCCCCTGCACTGCTGAGGGGGAAGAGGGAGAACATGGAAGGAAGGAGGGGTGGAGGGAAGGTGTTTTTTAAGACTGTTTTATTTCTCAGTCTTTGGGTCTTATCCTGATAGCAATAAATTTAAGTACTATCCCCACTCTGAGTCTATTTTGCCCATGAAGGTAATCAGTAAGAGACCTCTCCCAGCTCTTATCTCTACTCATGAATCCTTAGCTGGTTTTTTTTCTCTCTCCTCTGTCCAGTTGCAGAGGGAGAGTGAGAGAGCAGTTTTAGTGGGTACCTGGCATCTGGCCAGGGTCAACCCACTATAGTTGGTAATGTCAGACTTTTCTTGCTACATTTCAGCCTGAGCCTGCAATTGAAGTCTTATGATTTACCTCCTGCTTTGAGGACTGCTCACCTCTGAGAGTTGCACATGGAGAAACATGCATCAAGGTGTTGGCTTTTCCCCTCCTCCTGCCCCAGTGTCAAAGTGAAATCAATGGGACATTTGACTTAAGTGGATTTAAGGTGTCATCTCGATATTTAGAATTCTGGTCCTGCAATCCTGTATGCTGGAGTGTTTCCACATGTCCCTATTGTCTACCGCTGGAAGTCACTGTGGTTTTACAGGTGTAGCATATCATTTGCTCCTGTTCTGTGCAGCATCAAAGCATATGTGTACAATAAGTACCCCAAAAGGCGTTTTTTAAACAATCATCCCCATTCTTACTTATTTTCTAATATTTTTTTGTTTTTTTCCTTTTTAATAAAATAATCTTGCATTTTATTAAAAAATTAAAGTATGGAAATAGTAATTATTTGGCTGTCATTTTAAGAACCTCATTTGAGGTAATAGAGGTTTTAATAACTAGCTTTGCTAGCTGATATATTTTTTTAGTCTGTAATTACTTTCTCCTTTGATTTTGTAACTCATTTTTGCAAATTATTTTATGCAGTGTAGCATTGCTGCATATTTAATATAGCATTTCATGCATGGAACTTTCTGTAAATTATAATTCTTACCTCAATTAGCCTGTGCTCACGGACAGTAAAACAGCACTTGAGCAGTAGTTCAGTTAGTAGAAGGAACATAGTCTCTTGTGGAAGGTTCCATGATACCAAGAAGTTTTTAAGAGACATTTGGCTACGGAGAAGGGGGAAGACGTTGTTTTCAAGGTGCAGTAGAGCTCAGAAGGCAGTAGTAGAAGAGATGTCAAGCTAAGTGTAAATGAAAGAGATAAAAAGAGTAAAGTGAGGACTGAACAGAATAGAGGAAGAAATAAAAAGATTAAAGAGATTAGCAATAAATGATAGAAATCAATCATGAAACTGAAGAGAGGGATAAGCAAGGGAATGGGTGCAGAAAAAAACACATTTATGTAGAGGGAAAGAGGTGTCAAAAGAAGGGAGAAACAGAATGGTGGGAAAATGAATGAGTTTTGGGGGCTTTGAATCCATCACTACCAGTGGTTACAATAGGTTCTGTAGGTGTTTTGCATGTTGGGATAAGACACCAACGTAATACTTTGATTATTTACAATTCAATATAGCTAAAAGGAAGGGAAAATAGAAAATGCTGTTGAACTGTAGCCACAGGTTCCCCTGCTCCCCATTGTTTCTTTATGCCATATTTAGCACATCCATATATTTTGATCAATTGTAGAGCGACAGAAGTGTCCTAGTTCTGGTCAGGACAGGGTTACTTTTTGCAGTAGCGGGGAGGGGGCATGGCTAGGACCCAGAGATTATTCTATTCATTGCCTGGAGCAAAGGGAAGGGAGTCTTGTCTGAGGTTTCTTCCAGTTGAGTAAGCATAGTGGAGGGAGTGGTGGGGTGGCGTCAGTTCCGAGACAGACAGAGTGGTTGGGTAGCACCAGTTCTGAGCCAGAGGGAGTGGTCAGAGTGAGCATTTTGCATGTGAATCACTCGGTTTTGTACAGTTTTGTTATTAATATTATTGCTGTTGCTGTTACTGTTCCTTTTCTTATTTCATTGGTGTTTCCAATAAATTGTTCTTATCTCAACCTGTGATCTTTACCTTTTGTGCCTCCAATTCTCGACTCCGTTCCCCCCTGAAGAGGAGGAAGGCGAGGAAGGAGAGGGGGAGGGGGAGTAAGCAAGTGGCAGCGTGGTTTGGAGAGTCTAAGTGGGAGCACTAAATTGGGGAGCACAATTCCTAAACCACAACAACCTTATTTGGCACACAATGTTGGGCACAAAGGGTTGAGATAACAGATCTGACCAGAGCGGATTGGAAACAAATTTTATCTAAACATTTGTTGTATTAGCTACAAGAGCTACTAGTCACAAGGTTGTTTGGTCTGTTCATGTAGGTGTGGTACCTAATCCCGTATATATTCCCATATGTGCTCCTCATGGGAATCTTGTTCAGAGCAGGGAGAGGGATCAGGATTGCTTTGTTGCTACACTGTGTGATATCAGTTTATGACATGATAAGATCAAGGGCAATGAGAGTATAGGGGTTTCGACTTTGGATGGATTTTAAACACTTACTGAAAACCATTTTTCCCCCTCCTCCCCCCTCTGCTCTTCTTTGAGTTGAGGGAAAAAAAACAGTCATAGAATTTCTGAGTAGAGATAAGAACTTGTAGCATTTTGGGTTTCAGGAGGAATGCCAGAAGACCATTCTGGGAAACCAAGTCTCCAGGACTCTGGTGCACTTGCGCAGTTAAGTACCTTATCAGGATTGGTTGTTAAGGTCACATGTGTGATGTGTCACTCTTTGAACCCCCTATATAAATCCTTGTCTCATTTTAATAAACAGATTCAGTTACTAGTTAACCTGGTGTCTGGGTCTGTGCCTTGACTTATGATATATTATATTAATATTTCCAAGAACTGGGAGATTTGCTTACTAATTTCCATGGGGAAACAGATTCATAGTGAATAGAACTTAAATTTATTGCTAACAAACTGTAACAGGGTGAGTTCGAAGGATGCCAAGATTGAAAACCAAGACACTGATGAAAGCTCAACAATAAACCAAATATTTATTACAAAAGTGGCTAAGTAAATGGGAACCCGAGAGACAGGAAAGGAGAGGAGTGAACTAAGCCCTCAGTGAAACCCCCACTCACCCAGGTGTATTTTATGAGATTGTCTTACTGACCCCAGAATGACTAGAATTCCCCATAGCAGAGGTTGCATCCTTGGAGTGTCAGCAGGCTCACAAGATAGCGGGCATCCCCCCAAAAGACAATATTGTCCTTCATGTGAAGCTTGAGAGCACCAAGAACGAGCCACCTGCATATCACAGTTTGTGGGGGTCAGGGAAAGCCCAGACCAGCGGGTTCTTTCAACTGAGTTGTAGTTTTCCCTGCCAAGCCTGGCAGGGGGGCAACCTGTGTGGAATATTTGCAGGAAAATGGACACTTGGTAAACAACCCATATTACCATCTGTGAAAGAAACCTCAGGCTTCCCATGGGAAGAAAACTTGGTTTATAGTTGACAACTGTGGACTTAGGTTAGCTTCCCATGAGAATGGAATTAGTTTATAATCAACTTGAACAGACTTCCCATGAGAATGGAATAGGTTTATGATCAACAGCTATTTCATGTTATGAGAAGTTACGGTGGGAGCTGGAATCCAGGTGCAAAATATCGACCCTAGACCTTATCCAATGAGCATAAGACACGAACTCGTGGACAGGCTGAGTTATCCAATCCCCAGACTTTAATCCTGCACCCACAAGGGTAGGAAGATGTATAAAAATGTGCACTGTGTGTTTAATAAAGGATACATTGCTTAATCATATTGGTTGTTTGTGATGTATTCGTGCTCCTGCCGTTGTTAGGTGGCGCCCGAACAGGGACCTCCTACTTAACCGTTTTTCTCCATGGACCCTGTCGGTGGGACCTGGACGGAGGAATGTTTCAGCAAACCGCATCCTCGGAGGACTCAAAGGGAGAACTTGGGAGGAGGACAGGATCGGCAGCTGCTGTTTGCCTCCGAAAACCCGGATGGAAGATCAACAGCGGGGAACGGGGTGCGGGAAAGCCAATCGATAGCAGGGCTGCCCCGACCCTGGAAAAATGAGCTCATATTGACAAGGATACCCCATACAGGTGAGCGGTTGGGTAAGAATGAGGGTCTCTCTGAGCAAGGAGGAAGAGGCAGTTATTAAACTCCTACAGCATATACTCTCCAAGAGAGGGGTAACATATGAAATGGCTGCTCTCAAAGGGCTATTAAGCTGGGCTCGGGAGCAGGGGTATCTTCCCACGGTAAATTCTGCGTTTGAGATCCCAGAATGGGAAGACATAGGTAAGGAATTGTGGGAAGAATTTACAAAAGGTTCTAAAGAACTTACTCACTATGGACCATTGTGGAGGGTGCTGGTAGAAACTTTAAAATCCATGAAAACTGAGCGCCAAGTTACTGCTTCAGCCTTTGCTGCATTAGTAGGCGGTGAAACTGAAAATAAGAAGGGCGGGACAGGATTGGTTTCGCAGTTCCTCTTTGCTATCCCTCCAATCCCACTGCCAGCTAGCGTTAAAGTGGCGGTTCCTTTGAAATCGTCAGCCAGTGCTTCTGGGAGGATGAGTGTTACCAACACTCTGGTCCCACGGGAGGCAGTGTCCGCTCCTAAACCATCCGCTGAAGATGCGGAGGGGAAGGGTGTTACTGTTACATCGGTCCAGTGAAAACAACTCAAGCCAGCAAAGGTTCTCCCCCTGCAAGACCGCTCTCCACTGCGGAGATCGGCTCTGCGTCAGCGGAACAAAAAGGAGGAGAGAGGAACTCGCGATTCAGCGTGTAGAACAGCATTGTCATCACGTTCGCCGTCACCCCATGTCCCTCCGTCTCCAAGTTCGGACTCTGACTCTGACAACGGGCCAGAAGCTACGAAGGATGAGATGCAGATGAGGGAGGTGCTACGGTGCCTGAAGGAGGTGGAAGTCTTGGTGGTTCCTCTTGTTGCACAGAGGAACTGGAAACGGGACCACCCTCCCAATCCCACTCTGTCACTGCCAGCCTCCCTGTCCGTGCACCAACACAGACACTGACTCCTCTCAACACATTCCTGCCACTTCCCCCTCCTCCATGGTTCACACGGGAGGAGCAGGGGGGAGATGGGAGTGGGCTGCAGGGAGGAGGGAGCGTGAACGGGCTGCCACTTACAAGCGTTGGCTCTTTACCAACGGGTGGGGGCTTGCTACTGCTTACGGGCGGTGGGGGCTCTCTGTCTGTGGTTGACGGGGGCTCGTTGCTGATTGCGGGCAGGGGTTCTCCGCCTGCAGGGGGGAATTTACTGTCTGCGGGCAGGAACGGATCGCTGGCGGGAGAGGATGGGCTGTTGGTGAATGCAGGGGCACTCCTGCCGAGTGGGACAGAGCTGTCACCAAGCAACAATTCAGGCATGAGCGGGTTGCTGGTGGGCGAGAAAGCAAACAGCGATTGTCCGGTTCAGAGATGGAAAGGAATTCTGCAGGATGCACTGGTGAACATTGTCTCTGATTCCTTATACGTGGTAGGAACGGTAATGAGAATTGAGGGGGCAACGATCAAAACGGTTAAAAATGACAGGTTACATTCCTTGTTGTTACAACTTTTACATTTGGTCAATCAAAGAACTCAACCCTATTTCATAACACACATTCTCAGTCATCAGAAGTGTGGTGGGTTAGTTATTGGTAATAATAGAGCAGACCAATTGGTGGCTCCAGTTAGGGCTGGACCCCCAGCTAACCTGTTTCAGCAAGCAGTTTTGTCACATGAGTTTTTGCATCAGTCAGCAAAGATGTTAGTCAGGCAGTTTGGACTAACTTTTACAGATGCTCAGAATATTGTTCAATCATGCCCTGCTTGTCAGAGGGATGGCCTAGGCATTGGGCTTGGAGTTAACCCTCTGGGGTTACAGGTCCTACAACTGTGGCAAATGGATGTTACACATGTAGCAGAATTTGGGAGACTGAAATTTGTTCATGTTAGCATCGACACCTTTTCACATGCCATATGGGCAACTGCTCAAACAGGTGAAGCAAGCAAACATGTCATCAAGCATATGCAAGCCTGTATTGCTGATCAGAGCTGATCTGCTTTATTTTACAAAATGGAAGGTTTTTATAGGGCAGATATGGAAGGTTCTGGAATAGGGGAAAGGTATGCAAAACTTGGATAAGGTATTGGACAATTAGCAGGGATTGACAGAGAAAAAGGGGGGATACATAACTTTTCAGATAACTTTTAAGTATACAGTTGGAATGGGCAGCTGCCCTCATGGTGCTCTGCCCAATCAGAAACTGTCTGCTTTCTCCTATGGGAGGAAACTTACAACCTAACTGAATAAGAACATGAACATAAAATGGAGGTCTCAGTCTATCTGTCTGATGCTGTCTGGTCCATGCTGTCAGACGCTGACTCCTTCCACTGGTTAAACTCCTCTTCCTCCTCTAGCCCATCTCCAACACCTGCATTTTTATCCAATTAGCCCGTGACATCTACCTGGGCCAGTGTGGCCAGCACTGCCCAGCTAGAGACCTTCAGTCCCTCCCCCCATTATATAAGTGTACCCCTTCAGCGCATGCGTGAGAACTTTGGAATTCCCCTATCGCACTCAAGGGGTCTTATCTATTTGGGTCTCGGGGCTTTACTTCTTCCTCTCCTCTTCAGTTTCTCCTTCAAATGTCCTCTACAGATAAAGAGCCAATCACAGAACACCAATTAAAACAGTTTATACTAGAAACTCTCTCTCCAAGGATGAATCTCCAGTTTATCAGTGAACTTGGTAGGCAAAGAACAAAACTTTCAAAAGTGGTTGGGCCAAATACCGATTAAAAAAAAAAAATCAACATTCCCTGATACACAAACCTAAAGATAAATTTATTGTTAACTGAATAAGAACTAAAGAATAAAAGAATAAAACAGTCTTAAAACACAACACCTTCTCTCCACTCTCCCCTTTCCTCTGTGTTCTCAGTCCTTCTCCTAGCAGTGCAGGGAGACAGGAAAGGGGGGAAAAGTCACAGTCAGTGGCTGCCTCTGTTAAAATCCATCTCTTAGATAGGAACTCTTCTCAATTTACTGTCCTGGGGGGTCACTTTTCCATCAGGGGCAGAGGTCTCTCTCTGCATTCTGATGGTTTCCATGGGCTGCAAGGGGATGACTTGCTTCACCATGGTCATTCACCACAGTTACAGGGAGTAATGGCTTTGAGTTCTTCCCCTATTTCTTGTGGGATCCCTCCCTACAGGAGACAGTCTTTGATAGACCTCTCTGGCATGGGTCTATCCCTCGGGCCACAGTTCTTCCATAATCTGCTCTCCCTTGGGTCACGAATGAGCTGCATCAGCATGGATTCCCCACAGGGCCACAAGTCCTACCTGTTCCAGCATAGGTTTCTCTCTCCATGGACCACAGGTCTCCAGCAAGACTCTGTTTCATCTTAGACCTCCCATGGAGTCTCAGCTCCCTCGTGCATCCACTTATTCCAGTGTAGGCTCCTCCATGAGCTGCAGGGGGATCTCCTCACTCCAATAATCTTCCACAGGTGGCAGGGGTCGGTCTTGGCTTTCAGTCTTTTCCCTGCTGGAGGGGGAGAGGGAGGCCTCCTCGGGCCTCTTCCTCCCCCCTCCTGCTACGTTGACCTTGGAGTCTACATTGCTATCTCATGTTCTCCTCTGCTCTCCTCTGATCTGGAATTTCTTCTGTGACACAGGCTTCTCTTCCTGTATTCTTAAATATGTTATCACAGAAGCAAATATCATTGACTAGTAGTAGGAAGTCCATCCTGGAGCTGGCTATCATTGACTTTTTCATAGAACAGCAAAAGCTTCTAGTAGCTTCTAATTGAAATCATCTCTATGGCTCCCTATTACCAAAAATTCAGCCACTTGAACCCATGACAGAGGGTCATCTGGGATGTGCATTCAGTGTTGCTCTCCTGCCCTTACCTCGAGCACTACTGTAAGAAGTAAATGAAAAGGTTTTATTACAAGCAGGGTTTCCATGGTTGCCTCGTGATGAGGAGTTTTTGTGACCAGGGGTGTTCTGCAGTTGCCTGTGGCTGCAGTTCTGTTGCAGCCATGATCTGTTAATAGTTGTGATCCTGTTACTGTTGCTTACTGTTGCTGTATAGAGGAGAATCGGGAAACCTGTAAGACAATGAGACCAGCCAGGGTTCATTGCCAAGGGACCATGTGGTCGGGACAGGGAAACAATCAGTTCAGTTAAGACAACCAATGGACTGAAAAAGGGAAGTATGAGCTGACCCTGAGAGACCCAATTGAACTCAAGAAAAAGGTTTTATTGCTTTTTAATGAAGAAAAGGAGCAGAGCTGAGCACGGGAGGGACGACGGAATAGTTATGCAAATCGAAAGACCTTAAAAGAACTGCCCCCTCCCATCTCAGGTGTACTCTCAAGTCCTGGTATGAGGCAGACCTGACCGCACCCAGCATGCTGAAAATAAAGTTCTTTGTTTCACTTTATTTGGTTGTCTTCAAAATTTTAATAAGAGATATTTCTCACACTACCTTTGGGAATTCATTAATAATCATACCCAGCCTGTGGGGGGAAGGGGGAGGATGATTTTCCCCAGCATTTCACTCCCTTTTCCTCCTTCAGGCCTGGTACAACAGCTTTTGAGAATTCTGAATTCCCCTTGGATGTTAAGGAAAGCATGTTCTTGTTGCTAAGTCTGCCAGGTCTCCTCAATGTGGTCCACACCATGTTTAGAGTCAAGAAAGAGATTTCTATGGAGGTCATTCATTCAGAGATCTGCCCTGAAGGTGGATAGTCATGAGTGGCATGGAATGTGGGAGAGAATGGGCCACCACTTGTAACTCAGAACACTTGCATCAACGCTGCCTCCATACAATCCTAAACATTCACTGGACTGACTATGTGACTAATGCGTCTGTTCTTGAACAGGCAGCAGTTACGAGGATTGAGGTCATGTTGCTGAGAACACAGCTGTGTTGGGCAGGGCACGTCTCCAGGATGAAGGACTACCTCCTCTCTAAGATTGTGCTCTATGGCGAACTTGTCACTGGCTACCTCAAGAGAGGAGCCCTGAAGAGGAGATACAAGGACTCCCTGAAACAATCTCTCAGCCTTGGCCATATTGATCATCATCATTGGTTTACTCTGACCTCCAGTTGGGAGAGATGGAGATGCACTATTTATAATTCTGCTACTTCTTTTGAGAACACACATAGAATCATTCTTGAGGAGAAAAGACAACACAGAAAGAATTGTGTTTTACCGATACCGCCTACAGAGACTTTCCACTGTGCCTTTTGCAACCGGACTTGTCTATCTTCCATTGGCCTTTTTAGCCATCAGTGCGTTTGCAGCAAGCGTGGGTAGAGTCCTTGATGACCTTGAAAAGAAGACTAAACACGCTAATGGGATTTTAGAGGGATTGATATGAAATGGGATAATAGGGCTAGGTATCTGTAAAGTGTTACATTAAGGGTAAGGGATGTAATACAGTTACATTAAAATCTACATTTACTGCACAACTACTTCTAAAATCTACAAAAGTTAAAAACATCGAAAAGCTCTGAGGCATCAGTAAATATATGTATATATATGTAACAAACAAAACACACAACAATTCTGTAACCACAACTTTTGCTGAAAACAATGAAGTACTTTATGCCTTTCAGCGCAGTTATAACCACACCCAGCAGGGGGCACTGGTACGCAGTGGGAGGCAGGGGCTGCAGTGGCTCGCTCACTGTCACCAGGGGATGCTGTTGGGCTGCAGTGACTCCTTTTCAACCAGCAAGGGGCGCTGTTGTGCCTCGGGAGAAAAGACGTCTGCAGTTACTCACTAGCGGCTGGCAGGGGATGCTGTCAGGCTCTAGCGTCCGCCGTGTCTGTGGGGACCTGCGCACGGAAGGCAGCTGGGTCAGTCTGATACACCTCTCAGAGGGTGCAGGCCACCGCCGGCATGGGAGGGGAAAAGGGGGAAGGGCGGTTTTTCCCCTCAATGGTTCCAGTGGACTCACTTTTTGAGGACTGACTCCAGTTGGAATCCTTTCTGTTGATAGATGCAAAGACCTGATGACACAGGAAGGGGGGAGGGGGAAGAAAAGGTGCAGGCAGAGATCCCCACACCCTCCTGAGCTAGGCAAGCAATCCAAAAACCAGATCGAACCGCTCCAGCGCACCCCATGTGGCTCTCCCCCCCCCAAAAAAAAAAAACCAAAACGGTAAAAAACCCAGGAAACCTGAGCATCTCCCAGCCAAAACCTGCCCTTTCCTCCCCACCCCCTTTTCCCTCTGGCAAGGTTACACAGGAAAATCTATTTTCCCCCACTGCCTCGGGCAGAGGAAAACAAGAGTCCCACTTTTTGCTGAGAAAAGTCATTAGCTTTTCAATGGGGAGCAATTAGACTCCAAGCTAGAAAACAAGGAAGCCTGACTTTCATCTTATCCTACCAGACTGTTGGTGTGGTAAATTCACACACACACACACACAAAAAGTATGAAACTATAAAAGGTTATTACCTAGATGCTACTTTAATTCTTGTGTGAAAATGTGCTAAATGAGCATTTTAAAAGTATCATCCCCTTCCTGTTTGCTATTATACTGACACTTGATATGAAAGTTTTTCATTTCAACTTGAGGAACACATGTGAAAGTGTTGTCATTACAGCAGTCTGAGATTAAAAGAGCCTGGCCATCTACAATCAAATAAATATAGAACTAAAATTGGTTCATTTTTGTATTCAGGTGTAACAAAGACTATTAATGCTCATGGCAGATGCTTGATTTTTTATTTGAATAATTGACATAATTTAAATAAAATTCAATTTACTACACAAGTCTGGTAATATTTGTTTTAAAGTAAATGTTTCCAAAATGCCTGTAAAAACGTTTGATTGCAAAAGATTAACTGAGGTTGGGAATCAGTACTAGATCCCCTTCACACCTGGTCTGCTGACATAGCTGATGTTTCAGAAGCTGTCCTCCAACCGCCAGCTGTAAGAAATAAATAAGGTAATTTTATTACAAGCAGGAGTTTCCATAAGTTGCCTTATATCGAGATGTCTGGAAGTTGTTTTGTTTGGGGAGTTGGAGAGTCATTTGGTGGTCGGGGACTGGTGAGCTGCTTACAGTTACTGCAGTTACTTATTGCTGCTTGCAGTTGTTTGTTGCTGCTTACAGATCTGCTTACAGTTACTTGTTGCTGCTTACAGTTACCTACAATTACAGTGTGAAGGTGGGCCAGAAAGCATGTAAGGCAGGGAGACCACTCTGGGCTCACTGCCAAGGAACCAGGCGACCAGGACTGGGAAACAATATTATAGGTCAGGAAAGACGACCAATGGACTGATGAAGGAGAGTGCAAGCCAGTCCTAAGAGACCCAATCGAATTCAAGAGGGCTATATCACCTTTTAAGGAAGAAAAGGAGTGGGGTTGGCAATGGGAGGAGCGAAGGAGTGGTTATGTAAATCAAGAAACCTTAAAAGGACTCTTCCCTCCCATTCCCAGTGTGCTCAGACTTGGTCACCAGGCCAGTGCACCCAGCACACTGAAATTAAAAGTTCTTTGTTTCACTTTATTTGTCTGTCTTTGAAAGTTTAATTAGAGATATTTCTCACACAGCCACATGTAGCTGACCTGAACAGCCTGTGGCAGCAGCAATTTGGCCCTTGCAACACATTTTGCTGCACTCCTGTCAGAAGTCTGCAGTCTCCCTAGTCACACACTGTGCAGAAAAGCTGATGACAAAGGATCTGGGGTTGGTGACCTGCACTGCCCAGGAGTGTTCCAGCTGCTGCAGGAGGCATAGGGCTAACTGAAGAAAGCCTTGGGGCATGCTCTCACTGCCTGACTGTAGGATCCCAAAAACGAAGTCACTCCCGAAACAAGTCAACAACCACAGCAGCACCTCTCATCCCACCAGGTCTCCAGCCTTATGCAGGCAGAATGGGAGCCCTCGGCTGCCACGTGGGTGATTGATGGCTCTTCATTGTCAGACTCCTTACCAAGCTGCTGCTGTCCAGAACCATCAGGAGGCAGCTCAGGCAGCTCAAAGCACAGCCACCAGTTTTGGCTCTGCTTCTACACTTCTCACAAGCCTTTCCACCAAGGCACCCAGACCTCAGTATCCGGCAGCAGCTAACACAAAAAGGCCAAACAATGTCTGATAAAGTTAAAGCAGTGCCAGGTACATAAATCAGGTACATAAATCAATCTGATCCAAGAACCTAAGGAAAAGCCCTAAGGCCTCAAGTGTTACTGGAGATGCAGTCATCATCTCACCAGCTAGCAGCAGAGCAGAGCCCAGCCATGCACCAGTTATCAGCAGGACCTCCCCACATCCAGGCTGAGTTTTGTTCATAACTTGACAGGAGAGAACACCAGTACTAGAGTAACTAAGCGATGCACAGTGCCCAAAATAACATTCAAGTCTCATCACTTTGTGTTATTTGTTACATGTTTCTTCAGAACTGCCTCTCCCCTAAGCCACCAGGTTAATCCCCTCCAAGCTGTTCTATCATTTCCCCTCTTCAACTGAACAGGGCAGGAGAAAATACAACAAAAGGTTCATGGGCAGAGATAAGGACAGTGTGATCACTCAGCAATTACCATCACAGGCAAAACAGACTTGAGTAAATTATTTAATTTATTGCCAATCAAAGCAGAGTAGACTAGTGAGAAATAAAAACAACCCTTAAAACACTCCACGCTTCTTCCCAGGCTCAACTTCATTTTCAAATTCTCTACCTCTTCCCCTCTGATCAGCATGGGGGGGGATGGGGGTTGTGGTCAGTTCATCACATGTCATCTCTGCTGCTCCTTCCTCCTCACTCTTCCCCTGCTCTAGCATGGGGTCCCACTCATGGGAGACAGTCCTATACAAACTTCTCCAGTATGAGTCCTTTCCATGGGGAGTAGTCCTTTAGGAACAGACTGCTCTGGCATGGGTCCCCCATGGGGTCAAAGTCCTGCCAGAAGACCTGCTCCAGTTTGGACTCCTCTCCACAGGGCCACAGGTCCTGCCAGGAGCAAGCTCCAGCATGGGCTTCCAACAGGGTCACAGCTTCCTTTGGGCATCCACCTGCTCTGGCATGGGGTCTTCCACAAGCTGCAGGGTGGATATCTCCTTCACTGTGGCTGCAGAGGGACAACCTGCTTCACCATGGTCTTCACAGGCTGCAGGGGAATCTCTACTCCAGCCCCTAGTGGACCTCCTCCCCCTCCTTCTTTACTGACCTTGGTGTCTGCAGAGGTGTTTCTCACATATTCTAAACTCTTTTTTGTCTGCTTGTCTTGGTTTTATTGACAGTGTCCCAGGAGGCGGGACCTCCGATGGAATAGAAAACCCTCCCCCTAAATTACAAAAAATTTTGAAATTATGAGGCATTTGAGCGGAGTATGAAAATGAATAACAATTTTACTAAAAACGGAGAACAAAACAGAATAAAACAATGACTAAACAATAACAGAGGAAATGTCACCCAAAACCACTCTCTCAACTCTGTGCTGCCAAGATGACAACGCAGTCCTGACATGGTCACGTGATCCCTATGTAGCCTGGGCAGAGTTGTGACAAAAAGCCCAGCAACAGCTCACCATGCACACAAAGGGGACTTCCCCAGCTGACGGTAGCAAAGAAGCTACAGCAGGTGAGCCGCAGCAGCGAAGCAAGTGCCCCCCACAGTGGCTGGCAGCGAAGCAGGTCCCCCACAGTGACTACAGTGGGCAGGCAGCAGTAGCCAAGCAGGTCCCTCTGTGGCAGCTGCAGTGGGCAGGCAGCAAACTCCTCCAAGCAACAGCTCAGGACAAAGAGACCAGGCTCCCCTTGTGGCAGCAGTTTTATTCTCCTAAGTTCTAGTGGGATTTGTCCCAGCAGGAACTCTCCTCCCTCCCTGTCCTCCCAGGGCAGAGTGTGTCCCCCTGTGCTTCTCCAAAAACCACATGATGGTATGGAGAAATTTAGCTAAACCATAACACTGCTGTTCCACAGCAGTTTTTTACCCTTTCTAAATATGTTATCACAGAAGTGCTACCACCATTCCCAATTGACTCAGCTTTGGACAGCAATGGAGCCAGTTGGCATTGGCTCTATGGGCTATGGCTCTACGGGGGAAGCTTCTGGCATCTTCTCACAGAAACCACGCCCATAGCCTCTCTTCTACCAAAACCTGGCCATGCAAACCCAATACAGATGTAAATCCAGAAACCTCACCGGCGAAGCAAGAGCAGCATCACCAGGGAAGACCCAGAGGGTTATGTCTCTTTGGAAGGAGATGACCAGCTTTTACAGGTATCACTTTCCATCTTCACCTCTCTGCTCTCACTTCTACTACAGTCTCCATAAGCACAGTAGTTACTGTAGTGGAGAGACTGAAAAAACTTAAAACACATTAACACAACTGAAGAGATGATTTTATTCAGAAGTTTGGTCTAAATAGTAATTTCTTCGCCGGCAAGACTTCTTGCCCCTTTAGGATTGTCTAGTACCAGACAGATTTGTTTGGATAATTGTGAGAAAAGTGAAACAAGCAAGACAACTGAATGCTCTCAGCAGTGACAGTAAAGCAGTTTGAGTTTTGTTTTCCACCTTTTCTGATTAATCAGGAACCCCATTTCCTCATTTCAAACTGTCACATTTCTCACCTAGGAAGGAAAGTTAGGCAACTGCTTTACCTGCACCTACAGGCCTCTGTGTGTTGAATGTCCTGCTTAGAACAAGTTTTAATTTCAACCCCAATAATAGAAGCTGGTTAAACTCAATACTATGGGATATGTGCAAAGCAGTGTCCTGGTCCTACTCATCATTCATCTCCACATCTCCTACATACTTACCAGGTACATATTTTCTCAGCATTATTTTAAGTAAAGGTAATTAATGTAGTTGAGAACCTCACAGACAATTCCAGGAGTTAACACTGGACCCAAATTACATGTTTTTGTCATATAAAGTTAAGTACATAATAGAGACGAATGTCATCTCCTTTGGGGCCCTGATGAGCTAAAAACCTCCGACTGGAAAACCTAAACTGAGGCAATGAGCAAAGTCATTTTCCCCTCTCTTAAGTTCTCAATGCTCCCAGCTCCACGCTGTAACACAAATTCCCTAGGCCTGGTTTTTGCACTACTACAGCCATCTGCCTGGAGACCTCTGGTTGTTCTGCCCAACACAGTGTTCATATGTGCCTACAGGAGCAGGCAGCACTTGGGCAGGCAGGATCCAGCAAGTTGATAATTTGCTGAAGCCAAAGAGCATGAAAGATGGGAATCATGACACTGGGACTTAAATTGAGGGGTTTATTAGTTGTTCTTCTGCAGAATCAAAATATTTAGCAAATTACTTTAAAGATTCCTCAAGACTGTTGATATTTTAAGTATTTAGAACTTTAACTATCAAAACCAACCCAAAACCTGATTTCTAGTACTAGATGCTATTATGTAATTTTATAGCAGTGTGAGAAATGGAACTAATGCAGTGAGTATATCTCTTTTAAAGAAAGTGCTTGAAAGAAACCTGCATCACACCGAGTATTATTTAAAACAAAAAGATAACTTATTTCCTAGCAGAGCATTGCCTTAAATATCCTACAACCTGGGGGGTTAAGAATACTGAGCTCCAACTCTCTGCCTTCACGTTCAAAAACCAACATAAGTTGCAAGTCCAGATAGAGTTCACAGCTTACCTGTTTCAAGGGAACTTAAACACCACTCAACATTGAACACTCATGCCTGGAAGAAGTGTTGGACGCATGGGTAAAAAAAAAAACCAAGATGAACAGGTTCTCTATGCATAGTGACAGTTTATGAATCAGTGTTTTACTAAGTTGCAGACTAATTTTCCCCCCAAAAAATAAAACTCCATTGCACTAAAGGTCAAATTTAACCAGGTTATCTGGACTATGACACAGTCAATAATTCAGTACAAGCAGATACCATGAAAGCAGTTTCAAAGAACCAAAGCATCCTAGTTTCAGAACCAACTTAATGTTCTTCTGTTCAACTCCAGTGACACAATGAATGGGAGAAACCACCTCATCTCTACCTATGTACAATTCCAGTAGAGGCTGGGCAGTCTAAGCTCTCTGTGGCCAAGCTGGAAAATAGAAACTTAGGAAAGGACACTTTAAAAATTTAATTTCAGAAAGAAAGTTGTCTCTCAGGGGAAAAAGAAATCCTAGAGGGATGCACATGGGCAGACTCGTGCAGATGCTCTCCCTCATATGCAAAAAGCCAGACTCCTTCCTGCTGAGATTAAGTCACCCTGGATGTGAAGGTGGCAGGGCTGGTCCTGCTCCGCTGTATGATGAGAATCCAGGAATGTGTTTTCAGCTGGCTCCTGCACGGGCCATTAGATCTTCCAAAGCGTTCTGTTGGTCATTGTTATGTAATAATAAGACCTCCTTAATGTCTTTTAGTTCAAAGCCCATTTCTTTAAATTGACTCATTAGTTGGAGAAGCTCTGTGATCTGAAAGACACAGACAGTCCATTATTTGCAAGTGAAAAGAGGATCAGTGCTCAGTGGAAGTTTAGCACAGAGCCAGTCTTCAGTGACTGGGCACCCCATAGGGTGGATTTCTACACCCCAAGTACAGTCTGTTCCAACTCTGGTTGGGGAAAGTCTGCTCACACCAGTCAGAAGAGCTCTGGGTTCAGTAGCCCACGGAGCCTCACCTTCAGTCCCATGTTTGCAGTCCTGCATTTCCCAAATCCTCTTCAGCAAGGGCACCAAAGCTATGTCTGTGGGGGTGTCTCTCCCAATAGGAAATTTATCAGCCTGCCCTAATGGACCCTGATTAATATCACCCTGCTCCCCCACATCTAGCAACTACTGTTGCATCTGAATTTCTTTAGTTACTTTGACTTTGGGAACAGCACAGTAGCCCTTGCTATCAAATGGTTCTTCAGATCTAGGGCAAACTTGTGGGATTAACACAAATCCTATTGGATACACTGTGTAAAATACTACCAACATAAACCACAAATCCTCCCTGAATTTTGTAAAAAATAAAGTAACAAGAAGTGAATGACTGATCAGACTTTTATGGACCCTCTGCCATTTACAGGACCTCCACTCCACTTTGGGGTAATGATGACAAAATTAAACCAACCCAAAACAGGTTGCAATGAATTATCAGGAGACTAACCATTTCCACTTTTGGGGTTAAGCCAGTAGCAAATCCATTTACTGAACTAGGTCACTTCTCCCATCTTCACATTGTTTTTCCTCTGTTTGCAAGCTCATCACCAAGTCCAAGAAAGGCATATATATGACATTAATAATGACTAACATTATCTACCTGGACTTGTGCAAAGCGTTTGACAGTCCCACATGACATCCTTGTCTCTAAACTGGAGAGACAAGGATCTGATGGGTGCACCACTCAGTGGATAAGGAATTGGCTGGATGGTCACACTCAAAGAGTTGCAGTCAAGGGCTCAGTGTCCAAGTGGAGACCAGTGACGGGTGGTGTTCCTCAGGGGTCAGTATTGGGACTGGTGCTGTTTAACATCTTTGTCAGTGACATGGACAGTGGGATTGAGTGCACCCTCAGCAGGTTTCCTGATGAGACCAAGCTATGTGCTGCAGCTGACACACTGGGGGGAAGGTATGCCATCCAGAGGGACCTTGACAGGTGGGCCTGTCCAAATCTCATAAAGTTCAACAGGGCCAAGTGCAAAGTCCTGCACCTGGGTCAGGGCAAACAACGGTATCGATACAGGCTGGGGGATGAACCTATCTAGAGCATCCCTGCCAAGAAGGACTTAGGGGTGCTGGTGGATAAGAGGCTGGCCATGAGCCAGCAATATGTGCTTTCAGCCCAGAAACCCATTTATATACCGGGCTGCATCAAAAGCAGTGTGGCCAACAGGTTGAGGGAGGTGATTCTGCCCCTCTACTCTACTCTCCTGAGACCCTACCTGGAGTACTGTGTCCAGCTCTGGGGTCCTCAGCACAGGAAGGACATGGACTCACTGGAGCGAGTCCAGAGGAGGGTCATGAAGATAATCAGAGGGCTGGAACCCCTCTCCTATGAAGATAGGCTGAGAAAGATGGGATTGTTCATCCTGGAGAAGAGAAGGCTCTGGGGAGACCTTGTAGCAGCCTTCCAGTACCTAAAGGGGGCCTACAAGAGAGCTGAAGAAGCACTTATTATGAGGGCATGTAGTGACAAGGGGGAATGGCTTTAAACTGAAAGAGGGTAGGTTTAGGTTAGATATTGGGAAGAAATTCTTCACTGTGAGGATGGTGAGGTACTGGAACAGCTTGCCCAGAGAAGTTGTGGTTGCCCCATCCCTGGAAGTGTTCAAGGCCAGCTTCCAGGTGTCCCTGCCCATGGCAAGGAGAGGGGGTTGGAACTAGATGATCTTTATAGTCCCTTCCAACCCAAACCATTCTATGATTTTATGTCTGGGGGGGGTTGAGTTGTACCTCTAAAACTTTCATATAATAACTTGGCACACAACAGACAGTCAAACTTTAAAAGATCCTGCTGTCTTCTGAGCTGGCTACCTGTTCCTGCCTCTGTATTTTTGGTGGTTTTAAAACAGTCAGACAATGAACCAGACCTCAAAAAACATTTTCCATCTTCTTCAAGAGAGAGCACTAACCCAATTTGCTGAGCAGCCAGGCAGATGCATTTGTACAAGGGAGAAAATTCACGACCAGGGCAGGTTGGCACGTTTTGAAAGATAATTTGCTGGTTCTGAAATTAACTGTCTCTATACCAAGCACCCCGCCCACAAGAGAACTCTGGGTTCAAAACATTACAACCAGAATAATCAGGGTCTTGAAGAAATCCTGTCCCCATAAAAATGCATTCAAGTGAGAATGATAAAGCAATACAGAATAATTCTAATGCTTTAACACATATTCACTTTATCACCACAGCGATGTCCTTCAGCAGTCAATTTTGGAAATAAGGCAGCATTACACAAAAGCCAGAGGAACTGCACACTCTCTCTATTCTAGCACACATTGCTCCCTCACCTTCTCCTCTGAACGCTGGTGCATTTCCAAAGCTGCTTCAACAAGAAGTGGATCAAAGCCCTTCTCACAAAGCTGTCCATGTACAAACAGGTAATCCAAAACCTGTGGGGAATGAAGAAAAGAAACTAAGCTTGCAGAGTAGCATTTGCAGCACATGGCTAAATACCATCTTTATACACTCAGAGGAGCTCAGCACAACTTTACCCTGGGCTTCACCAGGGACAAAGTCCTTCCTAGTAGATCTGAGACAGTCTTTATGCAAGAACTTGTTCAGAGAAAGCAGACGAGCCCTTCTGTCCTCCTAGGTTCTCCCACCAGCTCTGAACATCATCTTCTGCTCTAGTCAAAACAGTCTCACAAGCCAATCTTTATAAGTTTAACTGTGTTTTTTATACTACAAGTTTTTAAGATGAAACTGTAGGTTCAGCAGTTAATATGTGTCAGCTTGTAGCTTCCTCTCAGACATCCACAAACACAAGAGTTGATGCAATCCGAAAACAGTCAGCCTTTTAAGATCAACTCAGCATACTGGTGAGTGAGCTGCAAATCCCAGCTCACAGACACAGAAACCACTGCCAAATTTCTTATCTGTCCTCAGTTTTGAGAGTTAGGGGGAAAGGTCAGATAGGTAATGCTAGGTACACAAAAGAATGCAGCTTGCAAATACAGCAGGATTTAAAACTGCTATCCTAAGGGACATTTTTTCCATTTGATACTACAGTTCACTCCAGCACACAGCTTAAATCATTCTTGATGTGTAGGTAGCCAGCAAGCAGATCAGCTCCATAAGGAGTCAGTGGGATGCTCCTCCTCCTCAGGCAACAGGCACAGTCCTAGTCATGCCAGGCAACGCTCCACACAGCCCACCTAGGGTTTCCCACACAGAAAGTTGGCCACACTCTCCCTGCTTTAAAATGTTTGTTTGAAGCAGATTCAAGATCCAAACCCATGCTTCACCCTGCAGTGCTTTATGCTCAGTGACCTGGTTTTAGCAAGCATTTGAGGCAACGCATGAGGCAGGAAGCGACACAGCACACAAAAGAAAGTCGGTCAACACTGCTTTGCAAGAGCCTTTCAGGGATGTTGTAAGACTGCAAGGGCAAATCCCTCTCTACAAGGAGAGACATCAGCATTGCAACCCATTCTCAGAACAAGGGAAGTTGGCTGTTTTATTGTCACATGGCACTAAGCATGGCATAGAGCCATGCTAAGCTTCCTTCAGATGGTTTTGTGGCTCCTGGGAAGGCCCAGTACCTCTCCCAGTTTCATGTGGAGCTAAGGGCCCATCCCAAGCTCAGTGCAGCTCTGACTCAGCATCCACAGGTGTGGCAAACTCAGTCTCTCATCATAAAGAAGTGCAGACACTCTTGTTTTGGGAGCCTTTACTGACAGGTGGCAACTTCTCTAGTGGTTAATATACCAGCAGATACAGGCTGCAACCCTTTGTTGGAATAAATATATTCCCCCCTATCCATTTTGCAAACCCAAGTTTGTTTCTCAGCATAATCAGCATCCAATCAAGGGTTTCTTCCCTGTTGCACAAGCTCTTACTTGGTCTATGTTCTGCCCCTTCTTCTTCATGGCTTTCAGGACGTCCTCAGGTGCATACCCCATGTTGACAACCGTCTCTACACATTGCCTCTCGCTAGCAGAGAGGGCCTGCTGTAGTTCAGGAGCGGGGCCACCTGACCGCTTTGTGCAGTTGGTGTTATTGGGCACTTTAGACACGGGGAAATTTTGATGCGTTACCTAAAGGGGAAAATCCAGAGGCTGAGGTGATAGTGTAGAACCAGGATACCCCATGTAATTAATCCAAGAGGCTTTCTAGACTGCCCTTGGGAAGTTACTGTTAGGATGAAACCTAACAGTGTGCATAGTCTGATTCCCAACATACTTTTTTAACCCTCAAAACAACCAACAACCCAGATTCTTTCCAATATACCCTCTCCTACCAGTGTATGAAAACCTTTAGATACCCAACCTTATGATATAGTCAAACCCTGTACCTCAGTGGAAGCATGCAGATTGCTTCCTTTACCCCAAGTTTACTCATCACCTATGATTTTCTGTACTCAAAGGAACACTATTTCTGGAGATTTTCAGAAATATGATCCAGTGCAAGCACTCAGGTATTTGGGAACTTACCGTAGGGATTTCTGTTTCCTTGTAGTCTGGGTGTATCTGTTGGACAACACACAAATAAGATGACTATAAATATTATGCATTAGTGAACAGAATTTGCTACAGCTGGGGAAGAAGGGTTTTATGGGAGAGATTTGGGAATAAGTTTACTATATTAGGGAGACTTGTGGTCTGATCAGGCTTCCACATATGAGATGCAGACATTACACAGTTGTGTGTAGTTATTGAATAGACATCATAAAGATAATTTCTTCTTTCAGCACTCTACAAAACCAGATTATACTTCAAGAAGGATGTGTCCCCTCTCATAATAATTGTAAGTTTTTTTGTTCTGTCACTGTAACTTCTACATGTTCACAAAGCTCAGTGTAACATGCTGGCTCCTGTTCAGCTTGACCCAGGGCTACACTGCCTGATAGTAATAATTTTAAAATCATTGCCTAGAGACTTCCCTTAATTTTTTTTGACCATGAGAAGGAGTAAGAGAAACATATACCTCTTTTCTACTCAAAGCTCTGCATTTGATACACCTGTGATGGATGCACTCAAACTCCTTAACTAAACCTGCAGTAGTTTGGTACAGGTTCCAAAGGACGTAAAGGTCTGAGCTGTAGCTCTATGAAACACACAAAGGAGCAGAGAACATAGATGCATATGAGCTTGGAACATGATTGTGCAATCAACACATGAATAGCATGTGGCTTTTCCAAGACTTATTAAACAAGGGACAAAGAAAGTTATGGGTACAAGGAGTCTCATGCATACTTTTCCCATCATATGCAATTTGACTATGAGCCAACCACTTTATCCCTGCTAGGCAGTGTGGCTGCAGGGTGGTCATCTCCCCTTGAGCTAGGATGCTTCTCAAGGTTACTCCTTGAGGCAAAAAGACCTTCTACTAAGGACAGATCTTCAGGTGAGTCCAATTTGAGCTCTCTTTAAGTTGCAACTGGACTGCACACCAGTGACTCTCCCCTTGAGATGGGATGTCTCTCAATTTTTGAGATTCCTTACCCGAGGTGGAGAGACCCTTTAATTCACAACAGATCCTTGTTAAGTGACTGATAGCATGTTGAATTAATACTAATGAAATCCATGTAGCTAATTCAATTAGACATAAACTGTCATCCAAGTCTGATACTAAAATTGGACCTAGTCGCACCTAAGCTCTGTCAGAAGCTTAGAAAGCAAGGAGGTCCACTCTGAACTTCGTGACTCAATGGAAGGGTTTCCATTACCCTTTTGCATCTTTGGTCTCTGTGTAAATCATTCTAGCTCAATTCTAACTCAATTTGTCTTCATATGTGTCATCCATGTGTCGTGGGTTTGCTTTGGGACAATTTTTTCTCACCCCACACACAATTGCTATAAGTTGAGAGAAGGTTTATGCAGACAAAAGAGATCTGATGTGGGGAGAATAATATTAGGATTTATTACTTATCAAGATAAAAACTAAAGAACTATATATAGAACAATTCTAACTAGGTAAAAGTGCTATGTATTTACAGAAATACCCCTCCCCCTTTTGTATCAGTTCAGGAGGAGAAGTAGTCTCCTCTCCACTTCCAGAGCCACAGGTCTTCCAAACAATTTTGCAGCACTCAAAAGTTCCTCCTCTATTATCTCTAGGATGACAGCTCTGACTCGTCGCAGCTGGAATTGTCTCTCTCTCTCTCTCTCTCTCTCTCTCTCTCTTCTATGTCGACCTCAGGGCTGGGCCTACCCACCCCTGGGCTAAGACCAGAGGCTGGGGGTTACCCAGGTCCTGTGGGGTCCTCCATGGACTGCAAGGGGGCACTTGTCTTAGCATGGTCTTCACCACAGTTACAGGAGATAACGGCTTTTGAATCCACCCCTGTTTCTTGTGGGGTCCCTCCTCCCGAGAGACAGTCCTTGATGGACCTCTCTAGCGTGAGTCCACCTTGGGGCAACAGTTATTCCATTCTCTGCTGTCCCTCAGGGTCACAAATTCAGCTGCGCCATCATGGATCCCTCACTGGGATCACAAGTCCTACCCAGGACGACTTGCTCCAGCATAGGTCTCTCTCTCCATGGACCACAGGTCTCCAGCAGGACTTTGTTTCATCTTAGGTTTTATAGGGTCACAGCCTTCTTGTGCACTCATATGCATTCACCTGCATTCACTCTTCTATCTCCTCTGGCTGCCAGCTTTGACATTGGAGGCTGCGCTCTGTCTCTGCCTGGAATTCCTTCTGCAGCAGTTTTTTTCTCTAGAGTTTTTTTCTCCACTCTGTTACATGTCTCGGCTAGAGGGGCTTCAGTGCCACACCTGCCCCCAGCCCAGGGCCGGGGGGAGGAAGGAGGCCTGGCCCACACCTGAGGCCTTCCACCTCCCCCTACATGGCTCCTAATTTCTTCTGCACCACAAATCTTCTCTTCAGTTTTCTTAAATATGTAATTGGCAGAGGCATTACTAAAACTTTTGATTGGCTTTGCTCTGGAAATTCACCTGGAAAAACTATTTTCAGCCCCAGGGGGGCTGGTCGGCAAACCCACGACACCATGTAATAAGTAATAGAGTGAACCTTGCCATCAAACTTTAAGTTGCACTTTTAGAAAATTCATATTAAAACCACTTTTGCTAATACTTTAGATCATATTCTTTAAGTGACCTAAATCACTTATCCACAACACCACCATATATGAGAACATGGCACACTGGCTAAAAAGAGCATGTGATTTTTCTACCAATGCCCAACACTTGGTCCCATTCTCAGTACACCAACAAGGCTGGGTAATATTCCTTGCTGTACACCTGCTCCATTTCTGCAGAACCAGGCTGCCAGAGGGCAGAACCAATCCATTACTTTATACTACTTTGCCCGAGATAACAGCAGTGTAAAGTCAGAACTTTTCCCTTTTCAATTCATCCATTTAAAAGTCTTCCTGCATTTTAAATCAAATTAGACTGCAAGAAATTACTTTGGACTAAGAGCTTCTGTTTATTGCCTTTTCTTAATACCTTTTTAAGCCAATATAGAAGCTTGAAAGCTTTTCCACTTCTTTCAGAAAAGCTTTCTTTGGGCCCAAACTAAGAAAAAGCAAAAAAGAAAAAAACACAACAAAAAACTATTTCTAGAAAAACAATTTTGAGAATATACGTTAGGATTTTGGCAAATTCCATCTATTGGGGGAGGGAGGAAAAGGAAGGGGGGAAGAAGGCCTTGTTCTGTATTTCTGCCCATTTTCATCTCCAGGGTAAGAATTTATCTTCTAGGACACAAAGCCCAAGAAATTATGTTTGGTCTGATGGACTGGTGTATGCAAGAACCTCTCTTCATGGTTCAGAGCTCTTCACACACCTCCTTTCCTCCAGGTTCTTTTGCCAAAACAAAAAGAATATGAGATACAGTGAAATGGGGTTCTGGAGTAGCCCTGAAATCAGCTGGTTATCAAACTGAAGGATGATGCTCTGTTGTCAATGCTGCAGACAGGAAGACCAAAACTGCTTCTGACACCAGAGATTCAAGAGTCCAGGACCACCTCCTCTTCCTCAGTGTACTTGAGCTTGACAACCTGTGCTTGTGGTCAGTGACTTCCAACAGAGGAGGGAAACACATAAAGGAATTGCAGGGGACAAAACCAGGACTGGTCATTTAGCAGCCATGCCCCCTTTACATCTCAAACTTGCATTTCAGTGCCCTTCAAGAAGCAAATGTGCATTGCTTTCAGTATGTGCTTGCACACTGTGCTTACTTTTAGGAACTTCATACAGAGGCCGGGAGCCCTGTCTGCAGCTGGTGTGCCTGTATGCATCATGCTACTGCAGCAATATATATTTTGTACCCCATTCTCCTGCAACTACATTTCTTTAAATGCTTCATACTAATCGGGTATCTGATCAGCTTTGTTTAATTCCAACCTGCTGACTTCACTAGTCATTTCTCCACTCTGCCAAAGCTGCAAAAAGCAAACTAGTGAGCTTCAAAAAATCAAAAAAACCAACCAACCAAAAAACCCCCACCAAAAACACTCTGAGGAGAGGGGACCGCCCAGAACAGAATCAGTGCAGTCTCAGAGAAATCACAAGTTTATTTCCATCCAAAGAACCCTAGATCCAATTCACTGGTAAAGCATAAACTCCAGTGCTAACTCCAAATCCAAAGTTAAAATTTCTAGTCTTGTGAGAAAAAAATTTCTATATAAAAATCACTGTGGAATACACTGGGATATATAATTGTCCCAAGGTTTTCTAAAAAGGACAGGCATGTTGTTGTGTAACCTTGAAGAGATGCATGACCCTTCTGCTCCCAGTCAGAGAGATGACTGTGACTTCCTTCTATCATTTTCACATTCTGAGGAATTTTGTTACATTTACTTCAATTTCAAACAATTTCAATTTCAAAATTTTGTTACATTTACTTCCAATCAAATCATGTTCAAGAAACGACTGGATGTGGCACTCAGTGTTCTGGTCTGCTTGACAAGGTGGTGATCAGTCAAAGGTTGGACTCAAGCTGAGAGGTCTTTTCCAACCTAAATGATCCTGTGATTCAATTTCTTGCAACTCAGTTGTCCTTTTCCAGCCACTGGGACCATATTGTGGTAATATGAAACAAGTACATTCTGAAGTCTTGGAATTTAAACAGAAAGAACTAGTTCTGTTGGCATACCTATTTCTTGGTTTGCTACTTTCAAAGTAGAAACAGTTTCAAAGGAAGATCTTTATTATTTCTCCTAATAAGACTATTTTTTGTTTGTTTATTGGTTTGTATCTTTCCTTACAGTATTCTTGAGAATATACCTCCTCTCTTGGTCTTTAATAAGTTTTAATGCAGCATAGAGATGTGAATAGTTAGAGTGAAAATGTGATCATCTGAATGCCCATCTATCTAGTTGTGAGTGATCTTTCATGTTAGTCCCCAGAGATGTGTCATACTTCAAGATTTCACCTCTGAGCTACATATAATCACCTCTCAAACCTGTGATCTGTAGCAGTAGTAGTGAGCAGTTGCTCAGCACACTGCTGCTTCTACCAAAGTTTACTGTATTAAATTTGTTCTAGTCATCAATAAACAACTGTTCTGCTGTGCTCTGACAAACACAAGTTGTCAGAATACTGTAATTCACAATTAATAATGCATTTACCTATGTCTAAAAGGAGACGAGAGCAACAGGAGAGCAGCTGTGTCACTTGTTTCAGAGTACATACCTACAGTATGTCAGTAAGGCCACAGAATCACTGAAGCAGCACTTATATTGGACAGAAGTATAGCAAACCAAGTGTGAGAACAAGAAAAGGAAGGCCTGGGAAATGTCTAGATGACCTTGTATTGCTTATCTAAAGCCTTGATTTACTGTCCAGGGATGGAGCTGAGCTCACAGTGGGGAGTGTAGGGCAACTTGAAACTCCAAGGTCTGTGTGTGTGGTGTCTGTGCGGTGTCTGTGTGGCCGGCCAGCCTGTGAGAGTGATTGATGTGTGGCTTGCAGCTATGTTCTGCCTTAATTTGCTTAACCACTCCCAGTTGAAAGTGAATGAGATAAAACCCCTGGATCATTAGCAATAAAGCGATTTCTGTCCATCAAGCCAGGAGTCTGTAAATCATTCCACCATACAGAAGCAACCAGGTTATTTTAGAGCCAGCTAGAGGATTTGACTATACAGCTTTTACTAGGCTTCATGAGTATTGGTATCCAGATCTTAGGTTCTTTGGGGAAAAAATTATCCACAAGCTTACTGATGTGCTGGTTTTCGCTAGGATATAGTTAGCTTTCTTCACAGTACGTAGTATGGGGCTGTATACTGGAAACAGTGTTGATAACATAGATTTTTTTTTTATTGCTGAGCAGCATTTGCACAGCATCAAGGCCATTTCTGCTTCTTATACTGCTCTGCCAGTGATTAGGCTGGGGTGCACAAGAAGTTGGTAGGAGACACAGCTCTGACATCTGACCCCAACTGACCAAAGGGATATTCTATACCATATGGCATCATGCTCAGTGTATAAAGACAGGGGAAGAAGGAGGAAAGGAGGGGGATGTGGAGTTATGGCATTTATATTCCCAAATAATTGTTATGTGTGATGGAACCCTGCTTTCCTGGAAATGACTGAACACCTGCCTGCCCCTGGGAACTAGCAAATGAATTCCTTGCTTTGCTTTGCTTGTGTGCACAGTTTTTGCTTTCCCTATTAAACCATCTTTATCTCAACCCATGAATTTTCTAACTTGTACCCTTCTGATTCTCTCCCTGATCCCACTGATAGGGGAGTGAGTGAACAGCTGTGTGGGGTTTGGCTACTGGCTAGGGTTAAACCACAACACTTACTCAAATTTCTGCTCTTATTCACAAAGACAATAAATGGCATGAAGTTAAGTGTCCTCAAAGTAATTTTGGAACTCGCTACAAGTCTGAGAAAATGAACCATCAAACTCCTGTCTCAGAGCTGTACAGCAACCAACTGTAACATTAGTGATCCAAGATGATCCTCAAGGCTGCTTTTGGTATCCACAAAGCAATCCTTCCCCCCTCCTTTACAAGGAAGAGGATAAATACCAGGTTTCAGACCACCATCATTTTCATCCTTTTAAAAGGTTATATTTTAAAAGTATCTCAGGAAGAAAATAAATAAATTAAATGTTAAAAAAACAACAACAACAAAACCCATACACACAAAAAATCCAAAAGACAATTCTTTCACTCCAGGTCAATTGCAAGCACTTTTTCTCCCCTGAATGACACAACACATGTGTTTCTTTAATCTGTGATTGCTTCTATTCCTTGAAAAGCCTGCATTTCCCATTATTTCCAGCAAACATATAAGCAAGCCAAGGAACAAATCTAGTAGATATTTAATTCAAAACCTAAGACCAGTTCAGAATCTTATAGATCTCAGTTGGATAAGACAAAACGCAGGACTGTACAAAGATCCCATATGCTTATCTCAATAGTGTGCAACTATGAACAAGTACCAAAAAGCTGAAAGTCACCAGAATTGGTCTAAAAATATCAGATATGGGGGAACTTGCAGAGTAATAATCTGAGGTTCAGAACTGCCAACATGAAGACCTGTTTAACTGATCAATTTGCAACATAAATGAAGAGGAACTACCACACATGATCTACACATCTCTCTGTTGTGGGTTCAAGTGGCTGGATTTTTAGTAGTAGAGAGGCCATAGGGATGATTTCAGTTAGAAGCTGCTAGAAGTTTCACTGTCCTATGAAAAGAGCCAATGATAGCCAGCTCCAGGAAAGACTTTCCTGTTGCTGGTTAAGGCTGAGCCAATTAGAAGTAATGATATAACGCTTCTGTGATAACATATTTAAGAACACAGGAAGAGAAAGTTTGTTGCGCAGAAGAAATTCCAGCCCAGAGAAGAGTGGAGGAAAACATGGGATAATAAGCAGACTCTGAGGTCAGAGTTCCAGGAGGGGGGAGGAGGGGCCCAGGGGGCCTCCCTCTCCCCCTCCAGCAGAGGAAAGACTGAGAGCCAAGACCCCTGCTGCCTGTGGAAGACTATTGGAGTGCAGAGACCCCCCTGCAGCTCATGGAGGAGCCTATTCTGGAACTGGTGGGTGCATAAAGGAGGCTGTGACCCTGTGGGAGACCTAAGATGGAGCAGAGTCCTGCTGGAGACCTGTGGCCCATGAAGAGAGAAACAGCCATGCTGGAGCAAGTAGTCCTGGGTAGGACTTGTGACCCTGGTAAGGGACCCACATCTGCGCAGCTTATCTGTAAAGGACTGTACCCTATGGAAGAGTGACCCAAGGGACAGCAGTTTAGAAAGAACTGTTGCCCGAGGGATGGACTCACACTGGAGAGGTCTATCAAGGACTGTCTCCCGTGAGAGGGACCCCCACGGGAACAGGGAAAGGACTCAGAGATGTGGCCCCCCTGTAATCCGTGGTGAAGACCATGGTGAAGCAAGTTGTCCCCTTGCAGCCCATAGAGGAGTAACCCACAGGAGAGCAGATTGGCAAGAGCTGCTGCCGAAGGATGGACTCAAACAACTGAACCCTCTTCCCCGTCCCCCTGCACTGCTGGGGGGAGGAAGAAGAACTTGGAAGAAAGAGGAGGGGGGGAAGGTGTTTATTTAAGACTGGTTTATTTCTCACTCTCTTAGTTTTATCTTGTTAGCAATAAATTTAAATTCTATCCCCTTTGAGTCTGTTTTGCCCATGAAAATTAGTTAGTAAGAGAGTCTCCCAGTTCTTATTTCTACTAAAGAATTCCTCAGCTACTTTTTTTTCCTCTCCTCTGCCAAGCGTCAGAGGGAGGATAATAATAATAATGGCCAGTCTTCGCGAGCGAAGATCCGGGGAAGGTCTTTACACCTTCCAGCCTGCGCATTGGATTTTTTTTTAGGTGAGACAGTGTGCGCGGAACTGAGCCCACCCTTTAATCCTAAGGTTCATCTGCCGGGGCCAAGCGAGCTTGGACGGTGGCAGCGAGGTCCTTAGGACGTAGGTGGGTTGCCTTTAAGGGCTAACGAGCCCCACCTGCCCGGGAGTGGCCCTGACCGGGAATCGAACCCGGGTCTCGGCGGTGATAGCGCCGCGCCCTTACCACTAGACCACCAGGGGCTCCACAGAGGGAGGATGATTTCAGTGCTGTAGCAGCTTTTGGCGGGAATTTGAAATCTGACCAGAGTCAAAACCATGACACTCTCCCACATTAAATGAACCTAAAACCACAGGACATTTTAGAAGCAACATCTGCCTCTGCACCTCCACATCTCCCCAGCAACCCCAATTCTAATCCACTGTATGTTTACCATAGTTGCTGTGCTTTGAGATGATTCTTCTGTACAAACTGTTGATGCAGCCAGGGAAGGCAGCCTGGATGAAGAGGATAATGTTGATGTCTCCATGCCACTGTCCTCCTTTAGAGCAGAAAGACCAACCAGATGGTGTCCATTCAGTTCATTGGCTTTACTCTCAGTGCAGGTCTGCAAAGAACTGAGCAAAGCACCATTGCAGAGACAGGTAGTGTTGTGGAAAGTGCTCATGAGCTTTGATGATTTTTGATCACTCTCATCAGAGTCAAGTTTAGGAAAGGACAGGGATTTGATGTTGCTCACTGAAGTGATAGGGGACAGGGACACCTTGGTAGACAAGGACATCTTTTCACAGTTTCCCAGCTGCGGTAAAGTGATAAAGCCATTGGGTTTGTGAAGGGGTTTGAAGTCCAGTGTAGCCCTTTCTATGGATGTCAGAACTTTCTCATCTTGCAACATGGACTCTCCTTTGGGCAAAGTATTATCTAATAGCTGGGCAACAATTGGCCCAGTAGTACCAACGTGAATTTCAAGAATATTTTTTAATTCCTCCTTATCATTGATAGTTTTTAATTCCAGTTTGTCAAAAGGGTCTTCTTCACATTCAAAATCAGCTGGGTTGAAGTCTGCTTTTGGATGAGGTGGACTGAGAACCTTTTGCTTCACAGCACTGCTGTTGGCTGGTGTGGGAGTAAGAATATTATTGTGCTGCAGGCTAGCAAGGATGGGGTTAATAGGAGGAGGCATGACTTTAGGGCAAGGTCCCTCTGAGAACCCCAATTTGGCGATGTCCTCTGGAGCCGCTTCTGAGTTTGCTAGCACTTCTTCTGCCTTGTGTTCAGCTTCTCTCTGGGCAGTTTCAATTTTTTTGATATCTTCAGCCCACTTGATTGTTTTCTTTTCCAGTGAGAAGTCATACTGGTCAGGGGTGAAGGGGAAAGGAAAGGAGAAAAAAGATAAATTATAAGGATCATAGCCACTACTTCTAACAGCAACATAAGTAACACAGAATAAGAGCTACATGAATTACCATGTGTAGTGGGTTTCTGTGGCTGGGTTTTGGTAGCAGGGGGGGCTACAGGGGTGGTTTCTCTTAGAAGCTGCAAGAAGCTCCCCCTGTCCCATGGAGCCAATGCCAGATGGCTCCAGGACGGACTCCCTGCTGCTGGCCAAGGCCAAGCCAATCAGGAGCAATAGTAACGCCTCTGACATAACATATTTAAGAACAGAAGGATGTGATGCAGAAGGAATTCCAGACAGGGAAGAGCAGAGTGAGAACATGGGAACAACAATGTAGACACCAAGGTCAATGCAGAAGGAGGGGGAGGAGGTGCTCCAGGTGCCAGAACTGTGGCCCCTGCAGCCCATGGAGAACCATTGGGGTGCAGAGACCCACCTGCAGCCCATGGAGGCTCCCATGCTGGAGCAGGTGGATGCAGGAAGGAGGCTGTGACCCTGTGGGAGGCCCAAGACAGAGCAGGGTCCTGCCGGAGACCTGTGGCCCATGGAGAGGCAAGCCCACATTGGAGCAGGTTTTTCCTGGGTAGGACTCATGGCCCCTGTGGGGGACCCACACCAGTACAGCTCATCTGTGAAGGACTGACCCCATGGAGGAGTGATCCATGGGACAGCAGTTTGGGAAGAGTTGCTGCCTGAGGGATGGGCTCACGCTGGAGAGGTCTATCAAGGACTGTCTCCTGTGGGAGGGACCCCATGGGAGCAGGGAAGGACTCCAACTCCTCTCCCTGAGTAGCAGCAGAAACAACAACTGACCATAACTCCCATTCCCGTCCCCCTGCACCGCTGGGGGGGAGGACGGAAAACATGGAAGAAGGAGGGGTGGGGGGAAGGTGTTTTTAAGACTGTTTTATTTCTCACTCTTTTGTTCTGATCCTGTTAGTAATAAATATAAGTACTATCCCCACTTTCAGTCTGTTTTGCCAGTGAAGGTAATCAGTAACTGAGCTCTCCCAGCTCTTATCTCTACTCATGAATCCTTAGCTGGTTTTTTTCTCTCTCTTCTGTCGAGTTGCAGAGGGAGAGTGAGAGAGCAGCTTTAGTGGGTACCTGGCATCTGGCCAGGCTCAACCCACTACACCATGGACAGGCATCAGTTTTTCCCAGCATATCTTGTCTGTAGGTTTACAGACTGGCAAAACGTAAAAGACCTCAGAAGGAGTTCCTTTAGTCTCTAGCACCAAAACCTGTCTATAGTCTGGATTAGAATATCATATTTTGCCTCCTTCCTACATTTAGTTTTGCTACAGAGCTACTGATCATCCCAAGATCAGTTTCACAGCCCTCCCACCTTCTCCCCCCAAGACAGCAGATATAGCAAGGGCAAGTCTACTAGATAGACAATCATACCCAGATTTGGCACCACTGAACTACCTCCTGTCCACAAGTTCCACAAGTCATTCAAGACTACAGCAGAGTATTTTTGCATCCAAAGAACAATACAATATTACTCAGTTCCCCCTAAAATATTTCTAAGGGACTTGATATTATAGTTTTACACCCACTAGTTAAAGAAGTATTGGTGTTCTTACTCCAGTGCCAGTGGCTCACCAGCCAAAGGGGTTATACTGGCTACAGTGATGATGGCAACTACCTGCAGTAGCAAAATTTGCTGCAGTTACTGGCATGACAGGATCTCACAAGCTTTTCTCATTTAACATCAGCTCCTTCAGGGACAGGTTAGCACAGGAAGCCATTTGTAAGCTACTCACTACCAGTTTACTGGTCACAGTAGTAGCCTGGTTGAGAGGACAAAATTCTGAACAGACAAAATCTACTTAAAGCTTTAATATCTTAATAAGAATTAACAGCCTCAAATGCTCTTTAAATAACCACAAAATGTTCAGAGAACACAGGCTACAACCTAAGTCCAGGGTATTACCTACCTGTGATTCACAAGAAGTCATAAAATACCCTTGCCAGGATAATGGCACATAACCGAACAGAAGTGCTTTTAACATGGGACCGCTAAGTCATACAAATTCCTATCTCTAAAGAGTAACAAACCAGTAAGGCTTGCTAGGTCTCTACTAAGCTTTTCTGGGACTCACTATGTGTTCCTATCTTATAGCAGGCTCCAGTGGGATCCTGGAGACCTGTTGTCTCAACTGCATAAAAGTTTTCCGTTCCCTTAGCTCTAAGACTCCAAGAGGTGTGATACTCAATTTATCAGCAAGGCAATTTTGAAAAACAAATCACTGGCAGAAGTGCTGAGCACTACTCATTACACATTCTTTGCTGTCTGAGCAGAGCTATCAGGGGGTTTTTGTGTGTGTGTGCGTGTGTGTATATGGTTATATTCACAGATCAAAACTGACCAAATACTTTTTTTATATTAAAAAAGGGGAGTATTTATATAAAAATGGCTTTGGGCAATTTTGCTTCCCTGCACTTTATTTTTTTTAACAGCTCTCACTACAGCTGTAAAAAAAGTCAAATTTCACTGCAAGATGCATACTCTAGGTAGTCACATCCTATTATGCAGGGTGCTGCAGTCCAATTTGGCATACTATACTTGAGCTTGGCAGGAAAATAGAGACATAGCACAATGAAGCCAGCAATAGGACATGAGTCTCCTTTAGCTCTCCCACACCACCTTAACTGAGTGAAAATATGTGTATTAGGACAATCAGGTAATCATTTAATGGTTATAATGAAAAAGCCATGATGTGGGGTAATTGAGATAGCTCTCCAGTGGATGAGTTGCAGGGTAGAAAAAAAAAAAGATAAAAAAGGAAGCATCTGTCACAACTGAAATTAAAACAATCATCACTTTGGACTGACCAAGGAAAATCATTGATCCAAACAAGAAAACAGTTCAATTAGACTTCTTGTATCACAACCTGCATTTGGAGATTAGATTTTCAACATATACACTAAAGCAATTGATTTTATACTACTATGAGTTTATTATAACAGAGACATGCTCCTCAAAGACCTAGAAGCCATCCATGTACCAAATTGTAACCTGTTTGCCCTACAGCTGGAAAAGAATTCCCACTCAGAACTGCACAGAAAGCAAGAACTAAAAATTTATTTCTTCCTCCCACTATTGTGAGAACACAAAATATGGTCATAGAAACACTTGTTACCCTCAAACAAGATTCTGCAAGCATGCCATAGCATGGGTATATCAGTTCTTAGCATTTTTCCTCTTAAAAATGCTACTCAAATTTAGTCAGGGTAATATTTAGACCTATAACTACTACAACAAAAATGCTCTGCTTTTTTGAAGTAGATACAGTAAAATAAATGTTATTAAGTGTTTTAAAAAGTAGAAGCTTTTTGCACAGCCTATCATATTTTTATCTTTCTATACATTCTAACTGCAACTACTGCCTGGCATACAAAATGACACTATGGGACCATCAAGAATAACATTGAATATGTGTGCAAACTGTGACTACTTGTAGTTTATAGCACCACATGTTGGGGGCCAGGGGGAAGAGAGCAGAAAGGCAAACCACATCACTTACCTGGGCTTCTCTGACAAGCTTAGAAGAATCAGACAGGCTGAAACCAATGGGTAATCCAACCTCTGCTGGGGTTTTGAATTTGTCTCCTATCTTAAATGGGACATCATCAAGATAACTGAAAGGACCTAAGATCAAAAGCAGAAATGATATAAAAAAACCTTACAAGTTTAATGCATTCAATTAAGACTCACATTTCTGTATTTGGGAGCTATTTATCTCTGCTGGCCAAACTATACCAGGTGACTCAATACAAAGGAAGTTGAATCTGTTTGGACTTCATTGCCTGAGTTTTGGTTTTTTGGTGGTAGGTTTTTGTTTTGGTTTGTTTGTAATGTTCTAGCTCATAACTACTAAAGAAAACCCAAACACACAACAATCCAACAACTGAACAGGTTTTCAAGTCAATATACCAAATGTTTTAGCTTCCCTTGTGACAAGACTATTCCTACACAACTGGAAACCGAAGCTCTCCTGAACACTGTATTCCGTTATGTCTCTAAAAAGATCTATCTTTTTTGTTATATTCAAAACAGCCTTTAAAAACCCCTGCTTTAGAGCAGCTAAGCTAAACTAAAATCCAAGTTTTGGCATACAAGTAGGAAGTCACATTTGTACGGAAGTGGTCACAAGGGCAAAGTGGCCTAAAGTGTAGACACTCCACTTGAACCAAAACAGTGAAATAACTCAAGACTATTTAGCATAGCAATTCTGATTTTTGAAACAAGGCAATCTAACAATCATCTGTCTGATTTGTGATCACTCTAATGAGAAGCCTCAGACTTATTTCATGGTCCTCCATCTGTTCTTTATATCTATCACTCACATGTGGTATTTAAAAAGTATTTTAGGATGAAACTCTTTCTTCAGGCATCCTGCAAACTCATGAGACAGAATCACTTAGAGCTCAACCATCTCCAAGTAGCCAGACTATAGGTTGGCTTTCCTTGAGTTGCCATGAAGAAGTATTAGAAAACACACAATATAAATTGCACTCAGTTTCTTGGATCACTGGTCTAAGCTTTCGGAATTACAAGCAAGGTTTCCGGCTATGTGTAACAATCAGAAGCATTCCTCTAGCACTCATTTGTAACTTTGCTTTGAGTGATGCAGATCCAAAGAGACATGAGTGGCAACATTAAGATGGTGTTCAGTGACTAACCTCTTGCTCAGTGAGCTGTGACTTGCCATTTTTATCTGACCCATTTTCATACTCATATGACAGTTTAGGTACTGTTTGTGTTCCTTCACTATTTTCTCATCTACAAGACAGTCACAGGCTCCAAAAGGATGAGCAGCTTTCAAAAACAGGAACATCCTGGTAATCTGAAGTTCATAGAATATCCTGAGTTGGAAGAGACCCACAAGAATCATTGAGTCCAAATCCTGGCCCTGCACAGGACCATCCCCAAGAGGTACAACATGTGCCTGAGAGCATTGTCCAAATGCTTCTTGAACTCTGCCAGGCTTGGGGCAGTGACTACTGCCCTGGGGAGCCTGTTCCACTGCCCAACCACCCTCTGGGGGAAGAACGTTTTCCTAAAATCCAACCTAAACCTCCCCTGACACAACTTCAGGCTATTCCCTTAGGTCCTGTCACTGGTCACCACAGAGAAGAGATCAGTGCCTACCCCCCTCTTCCCCTCACGAGGAAGTTGTAACTGCAATGAGGTCTCCCCTCAGTCTCCTCCAGGCTGAACAGACCAAGTAACCTCAGCTGATCCTGACACGGCTTCCCCTCAAGGCCCTTCCCCATCTTCATTGCCCTCCTCTGGATGCTCTCTAATAGCTTTATATCTTTCTTATATTGTGGAGTTCAAAACTGCCCCAGGACTTGAGGTGAGGTCGCACCAGTGCAGAGCAGAACAGGACAATCCCCTCCTTTGACTAGCTAGCGATGCTTTGCCCGATGCACCAGAGGACACAGTTGGACCTTCTGGCTACCAGGGCACTGATAACTCACATTCAACTTGCCATCGACCAGGACCTCCAGGTCCTGTCATTATGTGTTATCATCACTTGAACTCTCATACTATGCACCACACTGGCTAGTCCCAGAGTCCTGTTGGACAAAAGTGGTATTTCCTCTAGCTTCGAAGCCATCAAGCCAAATAACCTACATCCTATCTGCACTATCAGGATGAAAAAGTGCTCCAGGGAGAATATAATATAGTATTTTCACTGATCCTTACTGAGAAGAACATATTCAAGCATTGCACAGCACAGCATCCAGATGGCGTCTCACTGGTCACCAACATCTCTATTTGCAACACGGAATCCAAACTGTATTTGAATTGGCAATTTAAGAACCTGGATATGCCAAAGCATTTGCTTATGTAGAAATAGAAACTGTGGCAGCCTTTGCACGGAGAGTGGTAAATCATAGCCAGGTCAGAGACAACCAGATCTATTGACTGCTCAGTCTGGTGTGACTGCTGCTACTATGTCCTGCTTAGTCCCACTGGCAAAAGTTCTGCTCTAAGTAGGTTGATTCAAGTGAAGCAGGACTACCTCTGTGCACCAATCTGACAGCCCAAATTGCTCAGTGTTGCAAATACTTGTCTTATTAGACCTACTGA